AGAGTTGACAGTGAAGTATAGAGACAGCAGCTGCTCTCACACACAGCCTGGATAAACACTGGATATCCACCTGGATTTAACCAATCAGTGAGAGCCTCCCATTGGATACTTACTGCAGTGATATGTCTCAGTTATTTAACCCTAGCTGATGTGGTGAGTAGCTTCTCATTTCTCCACCAGGTCTGAAGACATATCCTGTGGTCGTGGAAAGGATCTGTTTCAGAAGGGTCAAATGATCGGCCTGCATCAAGCAAAGAACACCACTAAGCTGCTGAAACGACTAAAGGTTAAGAACTGTCCAACGCATTCAAACCACATCAATGGATCCAGATTGACCCTGTTCCAGAGTGATGGGGGCATCATGGATCCAGATTGACCCTGTTCCAGAGTGATGGGGGAATCAGGGATCCAGATTGACCCTGTTCCAGAGTGATGGGGGCATCATGGATCCAGATTGACCCTGTTCCAGAGTGATGGGGGCATCATGGATCCAGATTGACCCTGTTCCAGAGTGATGGGGGCATCATGGATCCAGATTGACCCTGTTCCAGAGTGATGGGGGCATCATGGATCCAGATTGACCCTGTTCCAGAGTGATGGGGGCATCATGGATCCAGATTGACCCTGTTCCAGAGTGATGGGGGCATCAGGGATCCAGATTGACCCTGTTCCAGAGTGATGGGGGCATCAGGGATCCAGATTGACCCTGTTCCAGAGTGATGGGGGCATCAGGGATCCAGATTGACCCTGTTCCAGAGTGATGGGGGCATCAGGGATCCAGATTGACCCTGTTCCAGAGTGATGGGGGCATCAGGGTGAGAGGAAGTGATGCACCATCACGCCCACCGTGCTTCGTCAGAAGCTCACAGCTCCTCCAGGAAGTCTGCAGGCTGAAACAGGAAGCAGACATTAAACAGACGTTCAGTCGACGGCAGAACATTTGATTAACTCCAATCATCAGAGTGAAATCCACCAGCAGTCCATCAGGTGTTCTAGATCCTCCCTTCAGTCCTTTAATATGGAATATAATCAGATTAATGCTGCCTCTAACAACTGTTTTCATCATCGATCTTTTTCTACATTAATATTTAAAATATCAGAACATTTTGAAAAGTGCATCCCAGTTTCTCCGAGTCCAACGAGGTGCTTTTAAAAGTCCACAGATATTCACTTTAAAGGTCCCATGTTTTGGCCATTTCTACTGATCATAATTCCATTGTTGAGGTCTATTAGAATAGATTTACATTGTTCAATGTTCCACATTCACATTGGTTTCTCATACAGCATCTCTGTATATGTGTATTATCTCTGTCCTCCACTCCTTGTAGGAGCTCCTGCCCCCCCCCCTCCCTGTGAGCCCACTGTGATTGGTCAGCTCGCCCACTCTGATTAGTCAACCACCGTTATAGCAGAACATCAGTGTTTATGTTATGGCGTTTGTTAGCAACCAGAAAATGACACCAGTAATGACAAACAGATGAGAATGCTGCGTGGGGTCTGGGTGCCGTGCTATTTTATTAACTCAAAAATGATCATATTTATTCCACTAAGAAGAAAAAAAAACGGCTTTTTCTCTCTCTTGATCCTCCTTAGCAACGGTCATTATAGTCCTTAACTACGGGAAACATAGACGGGCACACAATGTAAAATACTGTAAGTGACCAGCAGTATTTAGTAGAGCAAAACGATGCGTAATTGCACGTGATTATAGAACATTATTAATAATAATCATATATGTTATATAGCAGAGAGTGTGTAATGATGGTATTTATATTGCGTGGTGTGGATACAAAGTCAATATCCCTCCCTTTTATTATTTTATATTACTAATATATCCACAAATATCGCTGGTTAATTATATTATTATTAAAATATACCAACACGTACATATCCATGTGATACAGATCAAATATATCTCACTGTCATACCGATATTTAAATATTTATAAAACCAATATTTCAATAACACTGTATAACCCATCATTTAAAATCGCTGGATTTCAATATCTTTGAAATACCGTAGTTTTAACTCTGATCTTTAAATATCGTGGGAAAAACTGACATTGCAATCTCTTTGATTTATTTTGCAATGTGGACAAAAACTGGATGTTTACCTTAAATGTTCTAGGTTTCATTTTCTTAAAGCTCCCATGTCATGCTTTTCCGGTTATTACCCGTCCCCTTGTGTGTTATGAAGGTTTTTATGCATGTAAACGGTGTGCAGAGTCAAAACCCTCAAAGTACACCCTGTAGCGAGTAAAACTCTAACACAGAAAATACCTCCCCAAAACGCCTCGTTGGAGATACGTCACTGCCCATTTGAGTCTTCCATTTAGTTCCGGGTACCGCCTGATGTCATGCGGTACCCGGAACGAAATGGACCAATCCCGAAGAGCTATGGCCACACCAGCAGCGTCGTGTTCCTCCTCCAGAGGTTCGAAGAACCGGCATTTCACAGACGAAAGCTTCCAAAACATTGCCCAGTTTGAGGCCGGATATGCACAGCTTGTTTGGACCGTTTGGAGCAGGGGAAGATCTGGGTATACAACCTGTAAGTTTGCATTGTTATTTGTGTATTTATCAAACAAGACTGTTTAAATGTGTAAACTGTGTTGGACTGCTAAGCCATTGACACAGTGCTAACTAAGTTGCTAGAGTTTCCATATATCAACTCTAATATCAGCAGATGGCCTTGCATACATGTATCTCATAGCAGGAGAATGTCTGCATTCACACACAAAATACCTATTGATAGTATACTCCGGGTGATTTGCCGGTCAGTCGCGAAACGTAATTACATTATAGCTGGCGTAGCGATCTAACACACGGAGCTAGAGCTAGTTTCGGTCAGAAAAACATTTTTGTGATGCTACGTTGCTAGCGTTTAAATATATCAACTACAATGTCAGCAGATGGCCTTACATGTTTGTCATGGCAGGAGAATGTCTGCAGTCACACACACGGAATACTCATACAGTATACTGTACTGTGATTTACCGTACATTGTGACCGTACATATACTGCATGTAGCTAACGAGGCTAGCTGTATGCTAGCGCAAAACAATGTATTCATGCAAGTTACATTGTATGACCGAACGTAGCAGAATACCCGTATACGATTGCAATTATAAACACGTTATTGCTAGCCTAATATGAACCACTAGCTTTTGTTCATAGTAGTTTTATTACACTGCATTATAGTTGCCTTTCCTCCAAGCTAACGTTCATATCGTGTTAGCTACCAAGGTAAACAAAGCTAGGTTAGCATATTAGCAGGCAAGCTGTTCATTACACAACTACTACTAACGAATCTAAAACAACTAAGTTTCTCTAATATTTTGTGATTTGCATTTGATTTCGTCCAGCCAGATCCTGGCGGACAATCCATGACGGGGAAGGGATTCTACTACTACTGAGGGTGCTAAAAGGCACCGCACCGACTGTGCGCAGGCAAGATGCGAGGAGGAGGAATGGATGATATACCGTGTATATATGTATATTTATGTTCATTTTGTACATTTCTAAAAATAAAGTTTAATGGAAATACTTAGTAGGCCTATCCTTTCTTCCCTGAATTCATATATAGCAAACCATGATTTGATTTCTCATCAAACAGTAGTAGTTTATAACGGGTAAAAATAACTTACTCTTTGTTATGAGAGTAGCTCGTAGGCCACAACGGAAAGACAAGGAGACATACACGAGTTTACAAAACCACGGCACATTTATTGTAGTAAATGCAGAGACAGGTGGTCGAGGGGAGAGGGTCGCTCAGTTCGTCCTTCTGCAGCCGCTTTGGAGAGAGACTCCGGGCCGCTGGGATTAATAGCACCGGCTACGGAGGTGTCCGTGATCGCGCTGATTACCCTCTTCAGCTCCACCCCACCGTAAGACAAAGGCCCTGAGGCCGTCACACTCTTCTATAACAACAGTTAAAAATATATATGTATATAAAATATACCGCTGTACCGACGCCATGATAAGACTGATGTTACGCTGAGAGCAGCCGGGAAAAGCACTGACATGGGCGCAGCCTCTCTGGTGGTTGACTAATCAGAACGAGTGGCCGAGCTGACCAATCGGAGCACACTAGGCTCACAGGGAGGGGGGGGCAAGAGCTCCAACGAGTCGTTTAGTGGAGAAAGTGAATACTGCTGAATACACATGCTTGACAGAGATGCTGTATGCGAAACCAATGTGAGTTTGGAAAATTGCACAGTATAAATCTATTTTAGTATACCTCAACAATGTAATTATGATCAGTGGAAATGGCCATGACATGGGCCCTTTAAGTTAAATGCATCAATAAAGGGGAAAGTGAAGGGGCTGGATGATTTAGATAAATAGAGGAACATCTGGAAAGAAGACATCTTTAGGTGAAGAGACGTCATATATTTGGTGTTAATACTGATGTTTAAATGCATCTTGAATCCCTCCACTGTCTTTATTGGGGATGTTTTGTGTTAATATACCTGTTGATGTGCTGTGTATTGGATCAGGGGTCGAGCTGAATATTAAATCCTGTCTCTTATGTTTTAATGTTCTGAACACAGTGAATATATGAGTGACTTAAACAGAATGAACCCTGCTGTGAATGGAAGAAAGACGTGAACATTTTTATAATTTGTTATAATTTAATATTATTGTTTCAGTTAATTGACTTTACAACCACAACCCCCCCCCCCCCCCCGTCTCAAATTAAAAATGTAAAAAATCACTGTTTTGTTTTCATTGTTCCTCTTTGTCCCGCCACTTGTGTTATTCTAGCTGTGCGTCCTTTGTGTGTTTTACTGATATCTGAAACATCTGCAGTTTTTAAACGTTGACGTGTTTTTATCTCCTCTCTTTCTTGTACACTTTATTTCACCATCAAATAATTAAAAAAATGCAGGTTTGAGGATCTTTGAAGTAGAAAAGTGTTTTTATATCTGTAGGGCTAGGAGGTGACTGTCTCTTTAAGGAAAGCGGACTACTTCCTCCACCTGGTTTGCTTGAGTGCTCTTATTTTGTAGGTGTGACCCGGATGTAGCATGCTGTGAGCTAAGCAGCTAGCTGTGTCTCCTCTGTCAGCAGGTTTGTTCTCTTTCTCATGTGTTTCTGAAGAGTTTATTCCTATCTTTTTAGCTGGAATGTGTTCTGTAAATGTTTATTAAAGATACCCTCTCTTTGTGGAGTTATACCCCCGCGGAATGTAGATTTAAAACGGGGTTTAGGGTTAGCTAAAGTTAGCTCTGTTTAGGGTTAGTTAAAGTTAGCTCTGTTTAGGGTTAGCTAAAGTTAGCTCTGTTTAGGGTTAGCTAAAGTTAGCTCTGTTTAGGGTTAGCTAAAGTTAGCTCTGTTTAGGGTAAGCTAAAGTTAGCTCTGTTTAGGGTAAGCTAAAGTTAGCTCTGTTTAGGGTTAGCTAAAGTTAGCTCTGTTTAGGGTTAGCTAAAGTTAGCTCTGTTTAGGGTTAGCTAAAGTTAGCTCTGTTTAGGGTTAGCTAAAGTTAGCTCTGTTTAGGGTAAGCTAAAGTTAGCTCTGTTTAGGGTTAGCTAAAGTTAGCTCTGTTTAGGGTTAGCTAAAGTTAGCTCTGTTTAGGGTTAGCTAAAGTTAGCTCTGTTTAGGGTAAGCTAAAGTTAGCTCTGTTTAGGGTAAGCTAAAGTTAGCTCTGTTTAGGGTTAGCTAAAGTTAGCTCTGTTTAGGGTTAGCTAAAGTTAGCTCTGTTTAGGGTTAGCTAAAGTTAGCTCTGTTTAGGGTTAGCTAAAGTTAGCTCTGTTTAGGGTTAGCTAAAGTTAGCTCTGTTTAGGGTTAGCTAAAGTTAGCTGTTGATGTTTACTGTTCAGTTAGAGAAGGGAGAAGTACTCAGATCTTGTACTTGAGTAAAAGTATAAGTACACAGATCTTGTACTTGAGTAAAAGTAGAAGTACTCAGGTCTTGTACTTTAGAGAAAGTAGAAGTACTCAGATCTTATTTCATGTCATATTTATTTATTATTGGCTTTAATTAAACTTCCAAACTTTTTACACAATTTCCATATCCCTAAAAAATGATTGTATTTGTATTTCTCCTTGTGTATTTCAAATACAAATATTTGTCAGTGAAATGAGTGAATCTGAAACGCCATGAAATGTAATATGAATGCAGGTCTCAGCTGGTGCAGCATGGAGCGAGTGAGGAGGGTCCTGGTTCACTTCTGTAAGGACGGAGCGGCTCAACCAGCCCACTTTGTGCAGGTCAGCAACGCTCACAGAATACAACCTTACCGTCATCACTGCAGTAATAAACATAGTCACACACATAAAAGCAGAGGTAGCAGCAAAGACAATGCAATGTGGCCAGGGCTCTCGACTAACTTTTTTCACCATCCTCCCGGAACCGTCCCGAAATACAATCGAAGCCGTCCCGAAATTAATGTGGACCGTCCCGAATTTAAAATATTTGTTTTTCTACATTATCATTAGTTAAAATCATTCAAAGTGACCTTTAACATAAATAAAACATCATACAAATCATTAGATGATAATTCATCAACCTTTTTATTTGAGTAAATCAGTCAAACACATAAACAAAGGCCAAATATATTTAAAAAAAACACACAAGCGAGAAAGTTACTCTAATATTGAATCCAATCAAGTCCCATCCGATTAACAAAAAAATCCAACACTCTGTCCTGAAGACAGAACCCAGAGTAACCTAACCAGGATGACAGCCTGTAACACAGTCAGGGGACCTTTACAAACTGCCCCGCCCCCTCGCACACAGACGGGGGAGAGAGCTCTCTCGTCTGGATTGGAAAGTACATCATAGACGCATTTTGTAGTCTTATTGCATATTAGAAAAGGAGTTGGCGAAACTAAAACTGCAATATAATGTTCATGTAGCAATAATACATATGACATGTATGTTTTAAATGTCTCCAGTACCGATAAAAAGACCACTGTTGGTACCACTGTCTTTAATAATTCCGGCCCGGGGCCCGTTTAATACCGGGGCTCGGTACCCATCCCTACATGGGGAGAGGCGCAGCATATTGCTAAGGACTAAATGCGATGGAGAGTTCTCATCTCAGCTGCAATGACATGTCTGGAAACCCCCTCTAGGGTGCCCCATGCATAGCGCGTCGTCAAAAGCTGCTTCATAAGTTAAGTTTCGTTTCTCCGCACCGCTCTGGGGTAAAAAAATTGTAGTTACATCACAGCTGTACGGCTGGCTGACAGCTGTAGCTACGTACTGTGTGTGTGTGTATTTCGCGGGTTGCTAAATGCTTTGTGTGTGTTTATGTTGACAAGGATGTTTAATAACTGTGTGCTACACAAAACGTGCAGTCAGTTTCATTTTCATCGTCGTTCGTAGTAGAGTTAGCAGGGTTTTATTTTAACTCTCGTCCCAAATTCGTCCCAAAATTAATTTGTATCCTCCCCGACCCAATTTTTTTCGGCCCCGGGACGACGGGACGTCCTTAAGCTCGAGCCCTGAATGTGGCAATGCAATACAGTTACATGTCAATGTACATTGTGCAAAACGACAAAGATGTAGTGTGTGTGTGTTCATCAGTGGCGCACCGTGGGGCTTTAGACAGGGCCGCCAGTAAACAATTGAGAAGCACACACACATTTAACACGTCTCTGTTCCAGCCAACGCAGCCATGATCTAATGATGCGCACATTATGCCAAACAGTCTCCCAACAATATGACAGCTGATCAACAATCACTACAGCTGGTCAACAATCACAACAGCTGGTCAACAATCACAACAGCTGATCAACAATCACAACAGCTGATCAACAATCACAACAGCTGATCAACAATCACAACAGCTGATCAACAATCACAACAGCTGGTCAACAATCACAACAGCTGATCAACAATCACAACAGCTGATCAACAATCACAACAGCTGATCAACAATCACAACAGCTGATCAACAATCACAACAGCTGGTCAACAATCACAACAGCTGGTCAACAATCACAACATCTGATCAACAATCACAACAGTCTCTCAACAATACGACAGTAAGCTAGATAATGGTTAAATGCAGACGACATGTCCCAACATTGATCAATGAAGTAATCTATTATTAAACTTGTGTCATTGTGCACTCTCACGTCGCTCTAGAGTCTAAAATGACGTGAATAGTAACGTGCTCACCCGTCACTTGTAAATAAGTCGATGCTACGAAGGAAGTTCATGACAGAAGTTTAGCTCAGGACACGGTCATTGAACATCAGCATCTGATTGGCTGATGAAGCTGTCACTAATGCTTATTACCAATCAGATGTGTTGTCTTTGAACAAAAGGCTAGCAGTATCTGTTGTGCCCCCGCCAACTAAAATAACCGTGAGGCGTTCAAGTGACTTTTTGATGTAGGAAATCCCAGTTCAGCCTCAACAAAACCTTACTTAAAGGGCCCATGTCATGGCCATTTCCACTGATCATAATTACATTGTTGAGGTATACTAAAATAGATTTATACTGTGCAATTTTCCAAACTCACATTGGTTTCGCATACAGCATCTCTGTCAAGCATGTGTATTCAGCAGTATTCACTTTCTCCACTAAACGACTCGTTGGAGCTCTTGCCCCCCCCTCCCTGTGAGCCTAGTGTGCTCCGATTGGTCAGCTCGGCCACTCGTTCTGATTAGTCAACCACCAGAGAGGCTGCGCCCATGTCAGTGCTTTTCCCGGCTGCTCTCAGCGTAACATCAGTCTTATCATGGCGTCGGTACAGCGGTATATTTTATATACATATATATTTTTAACTGTTGTTATAGAAGAGTGTGACGGCCTCAGGGCCTTTGTCTTACGGTGGGGTGGAGCTGAAGAGGGTAATCAGCGCGATCACGGACACCTCCGTAGCCGGTGCTATTAATCCCAGCGGCCCGGAGTCTCTCTCCAAAGCGGCTGCAGAAGGACGAACTGAGCGACCCTCTCCCCTCGACCACCTGTCTCTGCATTTACTACAATAAATGTGCCGTGGTTTTGTAAACTCGTGTATGTCTCCTTGTCTTTCCGTTGTGGCCTACGAGCTACTCTCATAACAAAGAGTAAGTTATTTTTACCCGTTATAAACTACTACTGTTTGATGAGAAATCAAATCATGGTTTGCTATATATGAATTCAGGGAAGAAAGGATAGGCCTAGACGCAGTATTTCCATTAAACTTTATTTTTAGAAATGTACAAAATGAACATAAATATACATATATACACGGTATATCATCCATTCCTCCTCCTCGCATCTTGCCTGCGCACAGTCGGTGCGGTGCCTTTTAGCACCCTCAGTAGTAGTAGAATCCCTTCCCCGTCATGGATTGTCCGCCAGGATCTGGCTGGACGAAATCAAATGCAAATCACAAAATATTAGAGAAACTTAGTTGTTTTAGATTCGTTAGTAGTAGTTGTGTAATGAACAGCTTGCCTGCTAATATGCTAACCTAGCTTTGTTTACCTTGGTAGCTAACACGATATGAACGTTAGCTTGGAGGAAAGGCAACTATAATGCAGTGTAATAAAACTACTATGAACAAAAGCTAGTGGTTCATATTAGGCTAGCAATAACGTGTTTATAATTGCAATCGTATACGGGTATTCTGCTACGTTCGGTCATACAATGTAACTTGCATGAATACATTGTTTTGCGCTAGCATACAGCTAGCCTCGTTAGCTACATGCAGTATATGTACGGTCACAATGTACGGTAAATCACAGTACAGTATACTGTATGAGTATTCCGTGTGTGTGACTGCAGACATTCTCCTGCCATGACAAACATGTAAGGCCATCTGCTGACATTGTAGTTGATATATTTAAACGCTAGCAACGTAGCATCACAAAAATGTTTTTCTGACCAAAACTAGCTCTAGCTCCGTGTGTTAGATCGCTACGCCAGCTATAATGTAATTACGTTTCGCGACTGACCGGCAAATCACCCGGAGTATACTGTCAATAGGTATTTTGTGTGTGAATGCAGACATTCTCCTGCTATGAGATACATGTATGCAAGGCCATCTGCTGATATTAGAGTTGATATATGGAAACTCTAGCAACTTAGTTAGCACAGTTAGCACTGTGTCAATGGCTTAGCAGTCCAACACAGTTTACACATTTAAACAGTCTTGTTTGATAAATACACAAATAACAATGCAAACTTACAGGTTGTATACCCAGATCTTCCCCTGCTCCAAACGGTCCAAACAAGCTGTGCATATCCGGCCTCAAACTGGGCAATGTTTTGGAAGCTTTCGTCTGTGAAATGCCGGTTCTTCGAACCTCTGGAGGAGGAACACGACGCTGCTGGTGTGGCCATAGCTCTTCGGGATTGGTCCATTTCGTTCCGGGTACCGCATGACATCAGGCGGTACCCGGAACTAAATGGAAGACTCAAATGGGCAGTGACGTATCTCCAACGAGGCGTTTTGGGGAGGTATTTTCTGTGTTAGAGTTTTACTCGCTACAGGGTGTACTTTGAGGGTTTTGACTCTGCACACCGTTTACATGCATAAAAACCTTCATAACACACAAGGGGACGGGTAATAACCGGAAAAGCATGACATGGGAGCTTTAATTTAGTAATTCTGAGGATATTATGCTATTAAAACTTATAACTAAATACTAATTGTTTGATTATTGTGTAATAGTTTAGATTCATAAATCAGACTGCAACTGTTCTGGGATGTTGTAAACTGAGACTTTAACAGAACTGATTTGTTTTTGAAGATGTTTTTAGTCTCTTATCGGATATATCTTATTTCATTTGTATTTATGTATTTGATATCCTCTGATCTATATGTTTCAAATATCAATAAAATCAGGGTTTTTATAGAAAGATATAGTATGAGGGTGCTGACGTCACTTCTGGCCAAAATTACAGCCCCGCCCACTTTCCTGTGAAAATACTGCATCAGAGCGAAGCTGGAAATAATGTGTCTTCATGTCTTAAAGCTGCTGAGTCATATATTGCATCTCAAACAACAAACAAATCCAGAGGTTTCTTTACTTCCTCTACGGGAAAAAGAAGTCTCAGTTTCAGTGTCAGAGACCCACCGGACATCCATCCCATAATTATTCTCTGTAAAAACAAAGCTGTCTCTGCCGCCTGACGCTCTGTGTGATACTCATATCTCTGGAGAACAGAAATATAGTTTTCTGGCATCACTTTTATATTCTACGGGAAACCTGCATTCTGGTTTGAGGCTCCTGTTACCCGGTTTAAACAAAACCCTGACAACTATTCCATATTTGTTCTAACTCCTTGTCCTGTGTCGTATTGTGCTGGCTGGAGGTCTGAACTCTGCTTAGAGACTTTGCTCAAACCAATACCTTTTCTTGTGCATTATGGGTTTAGGGATACCTTTTTTAGAAATGTAGATATAGACACCGTAGATGCTAAACCCAGCGTGTGCATTATAGATCGCCCACCACCAGGTAAGGCTACACGAAGGGTTACACTTTAGATTTCTTCTTCATGTGTTTGCAGAGTATAACGGGTCACTTCAGTGAGGGCGGAGAGGACGAGGTGGAGGTCGGCTGCTCTCTGGAGAGAAACCGGCTCATTCTTCACCGAGCAGACGCCGGGCGGGGGGTCACTCTGAAGGTCAGACACGCCACATGTTAAATACAAATCATGACAATTCATTTGACCTTTATCTTTAATATGACCTAATATTGTCCTTTCCCCCTCCATCTCTAACCACCCTGTTGTCCTTTCCCTCCCAGAGGCACGCCTTCTGCCCCATCAAGCACCTGTCCGTCACGGAGAATGCTGCGCTCCCATTGGACGTTCAGCAGCGAGGAGTGGATGTGGGCGTGGCCATCATCCTGCAGACAGCCAATCAGAAGGTGTTGTTGACACGGCGTGCGAAGGAGCTCCGGATATTTCCCAACATCTGGGTTCCTCCAGGTCTCACACTCATCTGTTACAGGGCCAGGTGCATCATGGGAAATGTAGTGAAGCAGGGTTTTTGGATTAAAATCTCAACATTTAAATTCTGCTTTTAATTTCTCTTCAGCTCTATAGTGCAGTACTTCAAAGTTAGCACTTTCACACACACATTTATATTTATGTGTTTTTTAAGCTAAGAAATAGCTTCACATCTCAAATCAAAAGTGCTAAGTCGAAGTCTGTCAGTTACCACAAAGAACCTGCATCATCCTAGAACATTTTGGAAAGCCATAAAATCGATATCCACCGGTGAGATCCGTAATGAGCTACCTCCGTGCCTTACCACAGCATCTGGCTCTATATCGGACAGGGTCACGATGTTAAATTGTTTTAATGAGCATTTTGTGTCCTGTGGCTCTCTGTTTGATTCTGTTTCTAACTCTGCTTGAGAAAAAAACCTTCAGTTTTTCTCCTTTTACTATGGAAGCCGTTCATTTACATCATTTGTATACATGATTACAAGAAAACAACTTGAATATTCACTGAGATTTAACATTTACAAGAAACACTCAAATGTATAAGATAAACAAATATTTTTAGTTAATTTACGAAAAACCTTACAAATGTACGAGAAAAAGTTAAATGCGTGAGATTAAATTAGTAGATTAACTGAATCCTTTTAGTGTTAAATGTCCTCATGAAATGTGTGTGTGCATGCAGTGTGTCTCAGGTCTCTGCAGATGGCGCTCTGAGCGACTCCTCGCTGCCTCTGGAGGTCTGTGAACACCACAGTCCGTGACTCTGAACAACGTGGTGTGGAAAACCCTTTCAGTTTTTCTCCTTTTACTATTGAAGCCGTTCATGAAGCGTTATCCAAGTTAGATCCTAAGAAACCGGCTGGTCCAGACAACGTAGAACCTTTCTTTTTAAAGATAGCTGCAGATTGTATTGCACCACCTCTTACTTCTCTTTTTAACCTCTCCCTCAGCACGAACACAATTCCAAAAATATGGAAGTCAGTTTATGTCCTTCCTCTACTAAAAGGAGGGGAGGCCACTTTATTAAATAATTATAGGCCCATCTCTAAATTGTCAGTTCTGGCTAAGGTTCTTAGAGTTAACCTTTATTGTGCATTTTGAGTTTGGTGTACCTTAGAGATTTAGATAATGTTGTAGCAAACACTGTTGGATAGTGGCTTAAAGCCCCCCTCCGCTACGCGCCGTTCGTTAGATGAGGCTGGTTATATTTAATAAAGAAAGGAATTCAAAACACCGGAATTAAAGGTTATAACAATAATCTGATTTTACTGCTAAGAAACAAAACACGTATACAAGTTTACAGAGTACTCCGGACTTCAGGTTTCTACTGCCGTGCGATACAGGTATCGGGACCAGCCAGTCAGAAACAGGAAGCATTTTACATGAATAAACAACAGTATTCATATCCATATTTTGGGGCGGAGATGTGTTGGCTTCTTCCTTCCCATTTTACTCCGAAGCGAATCAGAGAGTCCGTGGGGAGGAGCTGTGTGAGCTGCTCACTCCCCCAGGTGTTTTTACTGGTTGGATTCACTTCTGGTCGGGTCCAATACAGCGAATCAGAGTTCTGGGAAAAAATATGTTTTCTTCTGAGATTCTAAAGTTCACAAGGGCAAAGTCAATCTTATCTCTGCACCGATATTCACTCCCTTACTTTCCCAAGGAATATTTCACACAAACTATTCTTTCCCAGACAACCAAACATTGTGCACAGATATATTGATGCCCAGAAAGAACCTTGAAAAGAATATGTGTGTGTGCTGGTGGGAGGAGGTGTATGTGTGTGTAACAGGATCTCTGGGTCAGTGAGTTGTAAGTGAGAATACAATATCTATATATGTGATTACTTAAAACAGTTCAAACAATACATGTTTACTTCAATACAGTTTAGAACCATATCTGTTTATTTCAATCCCTCTTTTGATCTCACCTCACGAGATCAACATATAGCATTTGAAACATAACCACTGTCATTCTTTTCTACTGTGTCTGTCCCAACATTTATATAAATCCATCAGAAGCTGGGATTTAGAGCACTTTAAACCTTTAGGAACAGTCCACCACAACAACTTCTTATGACAGTGGAGGGAGACCAAAATATGTTTAAAAAAGTTCGTCCTTGTCGGCTGAGTCATCGTACTCTTCCCCCTCCGACGCATAAGCCAACAAGGGCATTTGGTACGAAGGGGAAGGGGCAGCTTTTCCCTCAATGGTGGAACTGATGAGTCTAACACACAATGAGCGGATACAAGGCACACAACAACAACCACATGTCACTAAAATGGCAATAAAGGTAGCCACAGAAATTAGAAGACTGTTGGGGTGAGGCAGACATATTTAGCGAGACCTGAGTATGATTTGTCAGAGTTGGAACATGGGGCGATTGCGCACAGATCTATGTCCACTATTCCGTCGCTACCTTCTTGGAGAGTGAAGGTTCTTTTTGGGGACATAAGGCTCGCTACTCTAGTCCCTCTTTTGGTCCTTACTATCTCTTCCTCTGGGGCGAGAGTTGGAGAAAGAACATCATTAGTTTTACAGACAATGAAAATTATCATTACCATAATGGTAAGTAGGAGGCCCAGGCCTGCTACCATTCTCCAGTGCCCGTACATAATTATGCTGTTAGCTCAAATTCTTCTGGTATCTTTAAACCGTATATTACCAATGGTCAATGCGATCGTACCTTGGTTCCCCAGAATACAAAACGTGCCCCCTGAGGGAGATTGAGACCCAGATATGCCAAAACCCTCTTGAGTACGAGGAGTATTTAAATAGACATCTACCCTCGTCCAGATGTTGAGTAATGATAAAAGGGCCTATTTGGAAAGTAAAACAGGAGTTACTCCCAACTTGGTTAGTGATTGATTTTGGGCTATAGGTTTTAAATGGTAAATGCGGGTTCCCACATATATCAGTAGTCTTCCACCAACTGATCCAAGTTAGCAGGGGTGAGGGAGATACCCGGGTTTTATTACCTATCTCACGGAGGTCTTCTAAGCGCCTCTGAAAGGTACTCGTGTTGCTCGGAGTCTGAAGAGAGATTCCTGTGTCTGCCCCAAAAGAACCTTTCAACATTTCCTATAACCTTTAATACATAGTTCTGTAGAATAAAAATAAACAAATCCCTTAAACAATGGGCAAAAAATATACAAATCCCTTAAATTATGGGATAATAAAGCAAAGTCCAAAGTTCCTCAAAAAATGGATTGTTAAAACAAAGTTCCACACCGGCTATATCAACCTGTTTCAGCGGGAAGTGGAGTCCCCTGTGCCGTCTTGGTTTGCCGTGTCTTTGTCCCCCCAGCCCGCTGACGGCGGCTTCTGGGCTGCCTGCTAGAGAGATGTCTTCTGGATTCTCCTCCTCCGGCCCGCTGATGGCGGCTTCCGGGTCGATGCTGGAGAGATGTCTTCCCGATCCTCCTCCTCCGGTCCGCTGATGGCGCCTCCTGGGTCGACTGCCTTGACGAGGGCCAGATCTGTCCTGATGTCGTCTAGGGTCCTCGCAGGTGTTTTCCCGACCGCACACTGGCTCCAGTGGTACCAGTTGTCTCCCTTTCCTTCTAGGCGGACGGCATGGGAGGTCCTTTGGGTCACTCGGTAGGGGCCGGAAAACCTGGGGTTGAGCCACTTAGGCCTGATGACTTTCAGCCAGACGAACTCTGCTGTGTTGGCCTCGTGTTTCTCGGGTCCCCCTTTGGCGTCAGCAACCTGTGTGGAGAAGTCTCATACCAAGCCCTTAAGTTGCTGGAAATATGGTTTTGAACTCATCTCTTCTACTTCTTTAGTGTTTATTGGCGGTTGGCAAACCAACTTGTAGGTGCATTACCGCCACCAACTAGACTGGAGTGTGGACAAGAGACTATGCAGAAAACAATAAACAAAATAAATAAAACAAAACCAAACAAAAACAAACAAACAAACAAAAGTCTAGATTATTTTAAATGTATCAATGTCTCTTAAAAACGTAATAATCTCACATACATCAGTATTGACCTACATCCCCTCTTTTTCTGAAATAGAATGCCGTTAACGGTGTTCTCATTTTCAGAAATATCGAGCCTTATATATCAGTTATTAAATATCAGTCATATATTATATATTATTATTACTTATATATCAGTCATTAAATATCAGCCTTCTTCCGATCCCCCAGTTTGATCCCACTAATGATCAATCTCTCTGTCTGCCCCCACTGTTCTCGTAGAGTCCCTGGTACTGGGACGCCTAGTTGTTGTTCTTCTCGTTCAAAATTCTAAATATAATATAATATACAATATGTCCAGCAGATGGAGCCAAACCTTAATTTAACATTAGTCTCTGTTTTTTTTGTGCCACACCCTGTTGGCCACCAGATGGTAGCACCTGACCAGGAATGAGCTTCACTTCAGCCACAAATACTTGAGACTCCCTTTTCTTTTTTTCATTCCACTGAAAATCAATCTCTCAGTCTGTTCCCATTGCTCGCGGAAGCTTCCGGAAATTGGAACGCCTATATCATTTTTTTTCAAAATCTCCTTCCATGATTGACCTCGTTTATATTATCTGACTATGTTGATATGTGTTTGTTTGTATTTATTTAATATACTGGACAATTCTTGTCTTTACTCTTAACGTCCTTATTGTATTTATTGGAAGGCCCTGTCCGAAATTTAAAGTTGTCCAGTGTGAAACAGTGCAAAATATTGTTACACTCCCTGTTCGCCACCAGAGGGCAGCAGCTGACCACGAATGAGCTTCCCCTCTCTGGTCCAGACTCTGCACACTCGTCCACACAACTCTCCTATCTATGATCTAAGTTTATTCCCTTATACAGACTTCGTACTATCTGAATTCTATCTCCGTGTACTACTTCTTTTCTAAGTATGTACTGTGTACAGAGTGGTGTTCTTAAATTATGTTTGCAGTTTTACATACATTTTATCCCCATACAGTCAGGCAGATTTTTATTGTGCGATGTATATTTCAACAGATAGCAGGACTTCCTGAAGCAAGCTTCACAACCCCCTTACGGCGATTGCGGCTTCAGGCAAGGAGTCGGAACCCAGTCAACAAAATCTCTTTATCGTCACGTTTAATGAGCCTGATTAACCCCACAGCAAGAGTTGTGATGAGATTCGGTCGTTCCAAATGGTTAGTTGGAAGTCGCGCATCTCTCCTCTCGTATCACCCACAT